GAAGGCATGTTGAGGTCAGTGATGTTTAAATTGGTGCATTGTTCAGTGGTGAAATGGAGTTGCAACTTGTTCTGACACTTCATGAAATAATGTTAAATGAATTATTTAGTGTTAAGTAAAGAACCCTGCTAAATTATTTTAAACTATTCAAGGTTAATTAAACTATTTTAAGGTTTAGTCTTTAAAAATGTCATATTTTCAGTCCATAGATTAACCTTTTGAGTTTTGAATCATAAGATCCTCTTTTAATTAAACAAATTTTAAATGTATAATAAAAAGGTTAAAATTTTACATGAGCTTTTTATTTTTAAAATGTTAGTTAAGTGTATTTCTTTATATATTTAAATATTAATAAATACTTTGAGGATAAAGTGGCATGACACTGTTTGGGATGATGGCATTGGCTTATAGAACTGTTACATTAGAATTGAAAGTATTCCACATGAACTGAAATCAGGATGCAGTAACTGCAAATAAGTTCTTCAGATAAATTCAAGTATAAGAATATGACAAGAATAAGCTACCATTTATAAAGACACCTAAACAAACTGAAACCCTAAGGAATTTTTAAATTGTGAAGTAATGGGAACAATCATTTAATGTGGACAGAAGGAGCTAGTAAATGCTTCCCTTTTTAAATATCTCAAGATTAAATTGTGAAATGAGACAATTGAAACAGGGAAGATGATTTAGTGGCAGCATAACAGATTACCATTTAGAGAGGCCATACCCCTGAGAACTGAGTGCATTAGGGGACAGGACCAAGGTTAGAACACAAAAAAGTATTCAGTAAAGGCTTGCCACTTAGCTATATATTTTTTTAATTTATATTTTCTTAAGGAATTACGCAGGCTTAGTTCTAACACTTTGTAAACATTCCTATTTGTTTCCACTTTTTTACCTCTAAAGATTTTATCTCGTAGTCACTTTGAGACATCCTATCTGCTTGGAGAAGTTATTTTCACCCAGTCTTCTTGCCTGACCGACCTCTTGTAAGCACGAGCAGTCCTGCTCCAGCTTACCATCAAGTGCACACCTTGAAGTTAATTTTTATGTCATGCCAACATGCAATCATTTGTTGTAATACCACTGCCCTGTCTCTCTTTAGAACTGCAGTAAATTAGTTGTGGATAAGCATGTATTTAATGTTAGTCTTTCACTAGAACAAGTCTTTTCCTCACTGCAGCATTCCCAACCTTAACCTAGCGCCTGGCAGAGATAGGCACCCAGGAAACATGTGCTGCATGATTTCCAGGAGGAGGCTCCTTCTCAAATCTGGTCATTGCACAGCTGTAGCCTGATGCAGATGTGCGAGATAAGCAAGGACTAGAACCCAGGGGGACGTGAAGTCATGTTGAAGAAGCTTGTGTTTCATCTAAGAACAGTTAATAGGCCATTGAAGGATTGTAAGTCAAAGTCCATTTTTGGGTGGACATCTCCCTTCTAGACCTCTAGCTAGTGCTTTCTTCAAGGTTCATAGAAAATGTATTTGTCACATGAAAAGCAAAGTAACATTTGATTTATAGTTTATATAAACAGTAAGTTCCTATAGACATTTCCAGAGTACTTTTCTTACACTTTATAAAAACAATCACTTTATGTATTTAAAGATTAGGGAAGGATTTATAAACAGAAGAATAAAGTATTTATTTTTCAGTGCAGAAACTACTATACTGAATTTGGGTTTGTTGTAAAAACAAAACTTATAGTAGTTACAGTTTTCAAATTAAAAAAGCAATTAGTAGATATATAATATCTTCTGAGTAATTTGATATGCCTAAGAGCAGGCAGAAGCAAATAGATAATAAACTTCATCCAGGGAATTAAATAATAAATATTATAAGAATGGCAAGTTGTGCTTTGCTAGGAATTTTAAATGAAAATTATTTTTAGTTTCCATTCTAATGAGCCAAAGAATTTAAAGTCCCACTCAACTAAAGTAATATATGATGTTAAATGTGTTGCTTTTATTTATTTAGGTTTAGCAACAGGAATTTATTTTCACACAGTCCTGGATCCAAGACTAGAGTGTCTGCAGGATTGGTTCCTTCTGAGGGCCATGAGGAAGGGATCTGTTCTAGGCCCCTCTCCTTGTCTTGTGGACAGTCATCTTCTCTGTGTCTTCACATTGTCTCTCCTCTGTACGTGTCAGTGTCTGAATTTCCTCTCCACTGTCATCTCGGATCCTTGAACATGCATTGCTTTTAAATGACCAATGTTTTTATGCTTTTAAATTAGCCTTCCATGAAATGATTTTTTTTTCTTTAAGAAAATATACTTCCTTTCTGATTATAAATGTAATAGATGCTTATTGCAGAAAATTTAGAGAACATAGAAATCTTAAAATGAATTAATTCTGCCCTGGCCGGGTTTACTCAGTGATGAGAAAGTTGGCCTGTAGACCAAAGGATTGTGGGTTTGATTCCCGGTCAAGGGCATGTACCTGGGTTGCGGAGATTGATCCCCAGCCTCAGTAAGACAGAGGCAACCAATGGATGAGCCTCTTTCACATCGATCTTCTCTCTCCCTTCTACTCTCTCTAAAAAAATCAGTGGAAAAAATATCCTTGGGTGAGGATTAACAAAACAAAAGAAAGAGACAGAAATGCATTAATTCTGATCTCTTCCTTCCCACCTTTCATGTTAGTTGCACTTTCTTTTCTTAAAACAAAAACAAAAAAAAAACACCTTTTTTGTTTATTGAGTGGGCAACTTTCTATCATGGTTCTCAATTTCTTTGCTATGACCATTGCATACCACTAGTTTCTTTTGGGTTCATTTTCCTTCTTACTGAAAAAAGTCCTTGAGTAGTTCTCTCAGTGAGGATCTATCAATGATAGACTTATTTTTTGTTCAAAAATACTTTTATTGCCGAACCGGTTTGGCTCAGTGGATAGAGCATCGGCCTGCGGACTCAAGGGTCCCAGGTTCAATTCTGGTCAAGGATATGTATCTTGGTTGTGGGCACATCCCCACTGGGGGGCATGCAGGAGGCAGCTGATCAGTCTCTCTCATCGATGTTTCTAACTCTCTATCCCTCTCCCTTCTTCTCTGTAAAAAATCAATAAAATATATTTTTTTAAAAATGCTTTTATTTCATTCTTACTCTTCAGTTATAATTTAGCTAGATGTGGTTGGCATTTTTTTTCCTTGTAGTGCTTTAAATATATTCTTATATTCTGATCTTACTGATGAGAAGTATAAAAGTACAATGATAGCCCTAACCAGTCTGGCTTAGTGGATAGATTGTCAGCCTGTGGACTGAAGGGTCCCAGGTTCGATTCTGTTCAAGGGCATGTACCTTGGTTGTGGGCACATTCCCAGTTGGGGTGTGCAGGAAGCAGCTGATTGATATTTCTCTCTCGTGGATGTTTCTAACTCTCTATCCTTCTCCCTTCCTCTCTGTAAAAAATCAATAAAATATATTTTAAAAAAATAAAGGTACAATGATACATTTTGTTTAAAAATAGTCACTATAAAAAACTGTACTTTTTCCCCCTTAAAACATCTTTTAGATTTACTGTGCTGATAGAAAAAATGAATTCATGTAATTTTTAAAATAAGGAGTAAATGGTAAAATGTGAATCATGAAATATGATAACATTTAGTCCAAAACAAAATTACCTAAGATTGCTACTTGAATATATAAATATGCTGGTCAAGTATTATGTTTTATAATATGCTGTACATAGTGTCATGTTTATTTTTGGCTTTTTTTTTTTTAAGTGGTATTTTGAGCCAAGGCTGGTGTAATTCAGTGGTTAGAGCCTCGACCCACACACTAAAGGATTTGTGCAGGAGGCAACCAATCAATATGTCTCTCTCATATTGATGTTTCTCTCTCTACCCCCACTCTTCTTTTCTCTTAAAAAAAAAAAATCAATGGAAAAATTATCCTCAGGTGAGGATTTTTTTAAAAGGTGGTATTTTGAGTTATGTTTTAATTTAGAGCAGCGGTTCTTAACCTGTGGGTTGCGACCCCTTTCGGGGTCGAACGACCCTTTCACAGGGGTCACCTAAGACCATCGGAAAACACATATATAATTACATATTGTTTTTGTGATTAATCACTATGCTTTAATTATGTTCAATTTGTAACAATGAAAATACATCCTGCGTATCAGATATTTACATTACGATTCATAACAGTAGCAAAATTACAGTTATGAAGTGGCAACGAAAATAATTTTATGGTTGGGTCACAACATGAGGAACTGTATTAAAGGGTCGCGGCATTAGGAAGTTTGAGAACCACTGATTTAGAGGGAGTCCTAAAATAGACTAGTGCTGTCCAATAGTAGTTACTTTGATAATGGAGATACTCTATGTCTGTATTGTCCAATAAAGCAGCCACTAGACCAGTGACACTCGAACTCATTATTTTGGTTGATTGATTTTTCTTTGTTAAATGGCATTTAAATATATAAAATACATATAAAAATATAAATCTTTGTTTTACTATGGTTGCAAATATCAAAAAATTTCTATATGTGACACGGCACCAGAGTTAAGTTAGGGTTTTTCAAAATGCTGACACACAGAGCTCAAAAGGTTCGCCATCATTGCACTAGACCCTGAGTAGTAGTGTATTATCTTTTTATTTACTCTATCTCTTATTAAGTGGATAGAATTTCTGAATTAATAACTTGATTAGTTTTAGGTCAAATGATTTAAGATACAGTAATTCATTTTTACATGCAGATTTTTTTTCAGAAATCATTTGTTTTAATAAAAGTTTGACTATCAGTATATGGTTAGAAGAAAGTTGTAGAATCAGAGTGAGATTGTATGTTTAGCTTATGGTCTAGTTTCTACATGATAGTCGTATATTCAGTGTTTTTTTTTTGAAGTATTATATTAAGGTTGGTATGTCTTCTGAGGTTACTTTGTATATATTAAGTATTAGTTCTTGAGGAAGAAGAGTTATAGGACTAACTCTTCAGGTTTCACTCTAATAATAATAAACAAGGGAATTTGTTAATAGTGCCTTTTATTTTTCAGACTGCAAATAGAAGAATCTTCTAAACCCGTACGGCTATCACAACAACTGGATAAAGTTGTGACAACCAATTACAAACCTGTTGCCAATCATCAATACAATGTAAGTCTTTCTTCATCATACCTTTTCTGTATCATAGACCATGCTATCAGGTGCTTGAGTTATTCAGCCTTAGTAAGGGATATGACAGTTTGCCAAGCTTAGAAAAGATGTTCACTCTGTATCCTAAGTTAGACTGTTTAAACTACTCTTGTAAGTTTTTCAAAGAAATAAAATACTTCATTTTTTCAGTGTTTCAAATTATGGTATCCCTAATAAATAATAGTTTCACTTTTTTCATATTTTATACCTTTGTAACAGAGTTTTTAATATTTTGACAAAAAAATTTAAAGGTCATGAAACAATGGTAATTTTTCCCATTGATTATTAAAATTACTTTGCATAGTTTCAGCTTGTGCAGTCATTTTTACGGTCTCACACTACCATGCAAAGTGAGGACTGCCCTTATGTTCGTTTTGCTTTTTTGTGGGTTTTTTGTTGTTAATCCTCACCTGAGGATATTTTTCCTATTGGTTTTCAGAGAGAGTGGAAGGGAGGGGAGAGGGGGAGAGGGAGAGAGAAACAGCAATATGAGAGACTTATCAACTGCTTGCCCCCTGCATGCGTCTCATCTGGGGGTGGGGATCAAACCCGCAACCCTTCAGTGCAAGGGCCAAGGCTCTAACCACAGAGCAATACTGGTCAGGGCTGCCCTTATGTTTTAAACCTTCTTTTATTGAAGCATATCATGTATACTATATATATTGTATTCTACAATGTACAATACACGCATATATTGTATATATAAATCTACTTTGTGCCAGGCACTGTTCTGAGTGTCTCATAAGTAGTGACACATTTAACCATCATTCCTACCCTATGAAGTAACTACGGGTATTATCCTCATCTTACAGATAAAGTAACAGAGAGACACCCAGGTTAGCTTACTTGAGGTCACACAGCTGATAATTAATCGGTCCAGGTATTGAACCCAGGCAGCCTGGTGTAGGAGTTTACTCTTCATTAACCAGTGTGCTATGTTGCTGCAGGTCATTAGCAATGCTACCAGAGCTAAGGGTTTTGAGTCTTGAAGTACCTGTAATGTAAGGAAAAATGTGATGAATCTCTGAAAATAAAATGAAGCCTAAGTTAAGTAGCAATGAACAGTTGATATCTTGTGTTGTGTTTTGTTGATTAATAACTTCTTAATACTGAGTTTAAGAAGAAATAAACTCTTTAAGACTGGCCTGAACCACTACTTTATTTTTTCCTTTGTTTTTATTTAGTTTGTTTTTTTTTTCATTTTTGATCCACTACTTTATGATAGTTGAATTTCTTACAGTTATTTTATATGAGGTGGCAAATGCCAGGCCGTCATCCTCAGTGAGCAGAATGCTGCAATGTAAGAAGGTAAAAATCCTGGGGACTGTGATGAACTGGAGTGCACATGCCCCTTCTAAAGACATTCAAATTTTTAAAATTGCGACACTGTGTAGATTAAATAAAGCAAGTCAAAATTCAGTTACATCCAACCAGGCTTTAACTTAACTGCCTCTGGTTATGCTTTAGGAAAAATTTAAACTAAAGAAAAGAACAGGCAAGATAAGTGGAGACAAAATTGTCAAATTATCTAAGAGATGTATTTTTCTATTTCCTGTTGAGACAGGTAGATAAAAGTCTAATTTTTTACCCTCTTCTATTTTCATCTTGTCTACTCTTAGATGGAAATACATGCAATTTTCTGAAGCCAAGTGGAAATACAGAAGTGTAAAATATTATAGGTCTTAATTGTCTTTGCCTTTCTTCATTAGTGTGCTACTCCTGTAGCCCCTAACTATCCTTTTTTTTCCATTTATGGGCCAAACTTCTATATACATTTCCACTCCTGTATATGTTTATCACAGTGAGGACAAGAAAGACCTCACTTTCCATAAGCTGTAAAGAGATATAACCTTTCTGAGGGACACACACAAACACACACACACACACACACACACCCGCGCACAAATTTTGTGCACCGGGCCTCTAGTTAGAAATAATGTAAATGGAATTAATCTATTCCAGACCTCCTAATGATTTCTTGTTTTAACCTTCCTTATGTACAGTACATGTCAAAGGTACTGTTAAATCTATAAATAAATACTCTTTTCTTAAATTTTTGCACTACCCCTTACTAGCCTTAAGCTAATCATCTGGTCTGGGGATGTCTTTTAGGTCAGCATGCAGCATCTTTGCTTGTTCTTATATCACTGCCTCCAAAATGGCTGTCACTGGCTAACTGCTTTTCATTTATCCAAATCAACAACAGTTTTTTTACATTGTCAGTTTTCTGCGATCATTGTTTTCTTTCACACCCTTAGCAACATTAGCACTCTTGATGGCCACTTTGTTTTAAAATTGTGCTAATCATTGATTTTGCCAGCAACAAAAAGCATTCTCTCCTTTGTTGCCTGAGAAACGCTTTTTGTCTTGCTGAGGTGTCAGCTGGAAAGGGTTGTCAGTTCAAAAATCGAAGTTTGGATTGACATTTTTTCCTGTGAATACTTGGTTGAGAACCAAATTGATTGAAATGGGAGATGGTTGAGAAATGAAGTTTGACTATATTAATGTTGGGAACCTTTAGGAATTTGTTTAATCCTGCACTTTGCAAACATTTTAATATTAACCCCCCCCCCCCCCCCCATTATTTGAAGTAGTGAAAACAAACTTTCGAAATAATATGTTGTTGCTCTGCAGCCGTGGCTTAGTGGTTGAGCGTTGACCTATGAACCAGGAGGCCATGGTTGGATTCCTAGTCAGGGCACATGGATGAGTTTCGGGCTCGATCCACGATGGGGGGGCGGGGGGGGGGCGTGCAGGAGGCAGCTAATCAAGATTCTCTCTCATCATTGATGTTTCTCTCTCTCTTTCCTTCTCCCTTCCTATCTGAAATCAATTCTATCTAATAAAGAGGGAATATGCTACTTGGCCCTCATGCCATCGCAAAGATGGCAGTGCCCACAGCCAATAAGGAGGGAATGTGCTAATTGACTACCCCACCCTCAAAGATGGCAGCATCCACAGCCACTAAGGGGGGAATATGCTAATTGACTGCCATGCCCTCAAAGATGGCGGCACCCACAGCCACAAGATGGCAGCGCCCAGTCCCCTTGGCACCGCCAGGGCGGCAGGTGTGCGGCAAGGCCGGGGCCAGCCCGAGGCACAGGCAAGCCTCAGATGGCAGCTGCCCAGCTGCCCAGGGCTGCCCGAGGCTCAGGTAACCAGGGCCGGCCGAGGCTTGTGCTGCCGGCAGTGGCAGCAGCAGAGGTGTAATGGGTCGTCACCTTCCCCTGATCGCCGGGTCGCCTCCCACCCCTGAGGGCTCCCAGACTGTGAGAGGGGGCAGGCCGGGCTGAGGGAACCCCCCCTCCAGTGCATGAATTTTCATGCACTGGGCCTCGAGTTAAAATATAAAAGAGCCGAAACCGGTTTGGATCAGTGGATAGAGCGTCGGCCTGCGGACTGAAAGGTCCCAGGTTCGATTCTGGTCAAGGGCATGTACCTGGGTTGCGGGCACATCCCCAGTAGGAGATGTGCAGGAGGCAGCTGATCGATACTTCTCTTTCATCGATGTTTCTAACTCTCTATCTCTCTCCTTTCCTCTCTGTAAAAAATCAATAAAATATATTTTTAAAAAAACAATATATATATATATATTTTAAAAAAATATATAAAAGAAAAGAAAAATAATAAAAACTAAGCATTCAAAACATGACAGATCACTGTATTTTGAGAGAAAAACAATAAACTATTTTGTAATTTTGACAAAACTTACTCTTAAAATGTTTTCTTTTTATTTTATTACTTTAAATGTTTTTGTCTATGTTGTATAATATGTATGCATATTAATACAGTACATTTTTACAGTTTAAAAATAGATATACATAGTTTATGCTGTTATCAGAGAAATGCTGTTTGCATTGCTAGTGAGGGTGGGGTTTCTGGGGTACCACTAGAATAAGCATTTCCAGAAGCCCACAGGAGAATGAGATGTGCCAGAAAGTTATTTTTGTGGAATTACATGGTTTCCAAAGCCCCATTTCCCTTAATCCAATCTGGAAAGTGTGCAGCTGGGGATTCAGCAGAGCTAGAAGCAAAGCCAGTGTCCACAGTTTCCATTCCATGGTGGAACAGGGTCCAGTACAGCATTAGGCTAGTTCCAGTCCATCAAGCCATTGTGTGGGGTTCACATGGCCATGAGCCATGTGGGCAAATGCAGGGGCACCAGGAGAGCACACCCCTGCAGCATGAGTCCCAAGAGAATCAAGAGGGCAAACTCCTTTGTTTAGGAGAATAAATATAGAATCTTCCCAGGCTTGCAGTGGCCACGCCTACTCTGGCCAATGGCCCATTCCCAGGTGTGTCTGACAGCAAGTACCTTCCCTCTGTCACGCATACTTTACTGGGCATGCAGGGGACAGACCGATGGTGTCCTGGGGAGTGTTAAACTTCAGCTTCCTGGCAAAGCTGCACAAATGGCATGCCTGTAAAATCTGGCCTCCCCTTTGCTCCTTTCCAGTTATTCATAACTAGGTTAAATTATAGCAGTATCAGTGCTTTAAATATTTCCCTGACAGGTGTGTAATCAAAATATGGGGTCAGCTGATGTAAAATGTTCCTTCCAATTCCCTCTATCTCTGATTGCAAGTAAGGGTGCTTCTGTATGTGTGATTTGATTGACTTTATGGACATTATCATCTAGCCTGTGTAAATTTACAGCATTCTTATTAAGTAGTCCACAGTCTTATGACCTGTTCTCAAGGAATCATGTTTCTGTTGTCTAGATCGTGGTCCCCAATGCTAGCTGTACCCTAGAATCATCTGGGAAGCTTTTTTAAAAAGAAAAATACCTCCAGAGATTGATTTAATTGATATGATGTGAAACCAGCTGTCTTAAAATGTTCAAGCTCCCTGGATAATTGTAGCATGCAGCTACTGATCCAAATAGACAGGAACCATTTATAGTTCTGTTTGCCGTCTTCTGTTGGGGGAAGACCAGGAAGTCTCTTTCCTCCAGACCTGAG